TTTTTGTAAACCATGGTAAATATCAGTATACATTTTGTATTAAAAGAATTGAATGATTAAGGATAGGATATTAAGCATAATTCTAATAAGTCCCACACTGTGGTAGTCATGCATTTTAAAATTTTCTAATCAAAATTCTTGCATATAGTATACTTTATTCATGAAAACTTTGATCTATGCATGTCATTTTACATCTTCTTTATATATATATATATATATATATATATATATATATATATATATATATATATATATATATATATATATATATATATATATACACACACACATGTGTAGGACTCCAAAGTCCGATGGTGACGCCAAAGTCCGATGGTCTCGCCAAATCCCGATGGTTTGCGCCAAACCCCGATGGTTTGACGTCGGTACGGACGCCAAAGTCCGATGGTCACGCTAAAGTCCGATGGCTCGTTTCCTATGATACACGTGCGCTAAAGTGCGATGGTCTGACACGCCAAAGTCCGATGGTGCCGAGAAACAATTAACGTTTATGACGTCACAATATTCCGACGTCAATCCTCGACGCCATAGTCCGTAATTCAAACCCATAATTTAGGATGAGTCATCGAATACAATTTGACTGATTTTACTTAATGTTTGAACTCACCTGAGTTATTAAGATTAGTCCTTGCACACCAATTGGCGGATAAGGTTTAGTGATGGGTTGCACCCATCCAAGACATTAAGGGTTAATCCTTGTACACTATTCGATTGAATAGTTTTAGTCTCGCACCCCCAAAAAGGTTTGACTGATTAGGGCTAGTTTCTCTCCCATCCAGGATATGTTACAGACTTTTTGACCGATTAGGGTTAGCCTCGCAGACATCCAAGCGATTAGGGTCAGCCTCGCACCCATCCGAAAGATTAGGGTTAGCATCGCACCCATCAGAGAGATTAGAGTTAGCCTCGCACCCATCAGAGAAATAAGGGCTAGCCTCGCAACCACTTAAGAATATATGGCCAGTGGTACAATATATTCTTTGCGTTTTTTAGTGAATCATATTACTTTGGCGTTTAAATACTTACAATTGATTTATTTTAAACCGTTTTACCTTGGCGTGGCGCGGCATCGCAATTTGGCGCAGAGGTACTATGACGTCATAAACAATACAATTTTATATAGATAAATAGATAGATAGATAGATAGACAGATAATTCAGGTAGGTCCATTTCGATTTGCATCCATGCGGAAGCAGACTTCGAGGAGAGGCTATGTATACACCATGCCCCAGTGTCTGTGTGTCCATGTAAATTTTTTTGTAATAGAAAAAAAAAATGAATGCTTGTTCGTGAAATAAGGATTGATGTATGCTTTGACTCTGAGATGAAGTCAAATTTTGCCATCATAGGGTGAAAACAATGTTAAATTCGTGTCTTGAAAAGAGAAGTAAACTCTTTTTCTGGGACAAAAGAAATTGATGTACTAAGTCCGAAACTACGGAAGCCCGTTGAGGCCAGTTCAGAGAAAGAAATAATTTTTATTGCGTTTAAACGCAAAAATTATTGCGTTTAATCGCAATAATTAAACGGAATTTTTTTTTGCGTTTAAACGCAATAATCCTTCCTTTTAAGGATTCGTTTTGCATTTTAACACAATGCTACTGTACTTTCAAAATCAGACATCAATAAATCAAAGCTTATAATTACTAGGATCCGACACTTTAAAGAAGAACCTTTTATATCCGGGTCTTTTTGCAAAGTTTTCCAGTTTTTGAAAATTGTAGTAAAACAATGGTATCCTTACAACCAGAATGTCTAAAATGTATTAGAACACAACACTCTTACTGAAGCCTTTAATCAATTGCTTACGCATCACAATTAATTAAGAACGTTTCACTTGTATTAATAGCAACGTGGGGGATAGATTTTTATCCATTTTTTTTCTTCTTTAGTCTTTTACTTAGAAAACCCATTCTAAGTGTTTGCAGATATTGTTTCAAAGTAGGAAAAAAAAAAATAACAAAATAGAAAACGTGATTCGTGTTTGTAAGAAACTGACCAAATCTTCATTAAGAATATAGAAATCTAATAAGTTTAAGGCATGTCTGGTTCTTAGGTTGCCATTGTTTTTACAATCCGACATTTTTTTCCTCCTTTATAAATTCACTTCAGTGATATATCCTTTCAGAGAGCGTTTGCTAGGAGGAATCTAATTCTAGACAATACATAATTTCCTAATAAGTAAAAAAGAGAAAGAAACAAGCATTCTGAGAGTATTTCATTAGCAATACTAGTCCCCTACCGGCAGATGTAATCTGGTTCCCGTTAAAAATTGAAAATGCCATTATTCCTTCAAAAATCAATGAAGCTAAACGAAATGCAAACTTTTTCTATTAATCATCAAGGTAAAATCATATGCCAAAAATCAGCTCAATGTCTGCAAGCATTTATAAAAAAAATTGTGGAAAACCCTGAAAAATTGAAAAGGTCGTAATTCCGTCAAAAATCATTGAAGCGGAACGAAATGCAAACTTGATCTGTAACTCATCAAGATACACTCACATACCAAAAATCAGATCAATATCTGCAAGCGTTTAGAAAATAAGTGCGGAAAACCAAGTGGGACAGACTGATAGAGAGACAGCTAGACAGACGGACGGACAGACTCAGAGGAAACCTATAGTCCCCTCCGGGTTCACCGGTAGGGGACTAAATAAAAGATATCAGAATGCGTAGGTCCATTGCACTCTGCAACGTTTGATACAAATGATTGCGTATAAACGCAAAGATTATTGAATTTAAACGCAAAATTATGGGGATTTAACGCAAAAATTATTGCTTTTAATCGCAAAAGTATTGCGTTTAGTCGCAAAAATTATTGCGTTTAAACGCAAAGGATTGCGATAAATCGCAATCTTTTGCAATTAAACGCAAAGTGTTTTGCGTTTAAATGCGATACACATTGCAATTAAACGCAATATTTTGCGTTTAAACGCAATAATTATTGCGTTTAAATGCAATAGAAAATATTTCTTTCTCTGAACTGGCCTCAAAGGGCTTCCGTACGAAACAGATCATTATATGTATTAATTTCCCATAATAAATAGGTTACCCCCCCCCCCCCAAAAAAAAAAAGAATTCAAAGTGCACGCAGACACTTCTCTGAACTACCAAGATATGATAACAATATCTGGTATATAACGACAAGTCACTGCAAAGTTTAGATGTTATAACGGAGAAAGAGTCAGAAAGTTCAACCTAATTTTAAACTGAATGTAAGATATGTAAGATATTATAACATTATTAAGGATGAATTTTACTTCAGATGACAAATATAAAAATATCCACTAAATGAAATTAGAAAAAAAACAACATATTATGCATTGTAGACCTATGACTGTAGCATAATTATTAACTAGATCAATGACCTACTTTTCATGCCAGAGGCCCCTGAGTATTTCTCGGAAAATGCCTTAATTTTTTCCACTATGGCCAGTATTTTCTTTATTATTTATAAAATATAACAATTAACAAAACTCTTTAAATAATAAAATATATTGAAAATGGAATAGTGTTGGTTAATATGATAAAGAAATAAACGTATTTATTCCAGTCGGAATTTCCTCTGTTGATTTTCTAAAGTTTACCCATTTTAATCTAATATTACAAATCTGAATTATAGGAACTCTAGTTATTTCAACCCCAGTTTACTGTTATTGCCCATATTTTGCTGGTATTAAAGTTTACAAGCTCAATGATCAAATTCTTGAGATATCATGTCTGGAATGGTCTTTGCTTATATTTTTTATATACTCCATTGCTTGCCATTCAATTACATGAATTTGAAATAGTACATGAGCTTTAACACATATAATATTTGCAAAAAGATGTTAAACAAATAAAGAATCTAACTTTCAGAATGACATCGAAGGTATAGAAATATTTTGCTAAATAATAAAAAATTCAAATTTATTTCCGATTTCCTCTGCATCACCATAAATTTACCTTCGTTCTTGCATACTCATTCATACTCAAACATCCAATGCTTGAACTAAATGGACTTATTTAATGTAAGGTACTTGAAGTCTTAGGATCAACTCGAAAATTTTTGTATTGATCGTATTTGTCACTTAAAACTGCACATCACATCTAGTTATTCAAGTATTGCCAAAATTTTTATTTTGAAGCAGTGATGATATAAAATACATATATTGCTAATGGGTGATTGCAGGCTTTTTTTTTTTTTTTGGAAAAAAACTATAAATTGGTGTTGTTCGTGTCTTTTTTGAAGCTGTACTTATGAAAGTGAAACATTAATGCAAACATCAATACTTATAATAAACCAGTGTTAGTTTCCAGTGATATTTGTTTTTCATGATAAACAGATGTCACAACTACATCAAATAATATTTATATAATTCAACAGCTACAAACATGCATACCACGCAATAGCTAACAATGAAACTGCTGGTGGGTCTCTTTTGGGTTTTTGCCTCAATCCCACTTGTAAATAGTACGAGCATGTCTACTCGATTGACACTGGGTCGACATGAAAACAAGATGTTGTTAAAGAGCCTGTCTCACTTGCATTTGCAGCTTTTCAACACGATTCAGAACAATACAAATGCGATAGAGGTATGATAAAATTCGAAAAGATAAAAAAAAATGTAATATATAAATACCGTAAGATGAGTAATTTATCTTTGGTAATAGTTTTCAAAAATAAATTCTTGCTTGTATACGATAGCTTAACTGCTAAAATGATTGTAATTTACTTTTAAGTCGGCTTATTTCGAAATCTACTGTTCGAAAAAGGGATGTGAATTTACCAAAAACCAATGCAGCGCAGATGTACCAAATAGAGGTCAAATACAGGAGGAATTGAATCATATCAAGGGATATATTGAGAATATTTGCAAGAAATCCATGCCGAAGAGTGAGTATTGCATGCTTTACTGAATGTCATACATATTTGTTTTTTAATTACTATGATATATACGGTTACTTTATTAACGCGATAATATATGTTTGACAGAATGCAAGAAGGGTTGGAAGATGTACAAGGGGCATTGCTATGCACAGCCTAGTATTCGTCTGAACTGGTATAATGCTCAGGTTTGTGGCATAATCATAATTTTATTCACCTAGTCCGTCCCATAAATCAAATGTCATTATACACTAGACAAAATTGCTAACGCATCACCTAAATAAATTAACATTTTTCTTTTCAAAACTTGTTAATGATGTTTTTGATATATAATTATGTTACTTTAACAGAAAATGAGACATTTAAATGTTTTAACTGATAAATAACAACAATGTTTACTGGAGCGTAACCACTTCATGGAAAAAAATAAAATCATATCCATACTTTTTGGGTGGAATAAATTTCTATTTTTTTCTTTGTGGTTGTGTTCTTGATGTTCGTACTAATTAAAAACTCAGAAAAAAGTTACACCGTATGCTGCGTTTGACTGTAGAAAAGCGTGCTAAGGCAGCCAGTATGGTGTCTGCAGGGGGTTCCTTTGAAGAAATTTGTGAAAAAATTAAAACAATGAAAAGATTATGCATTTCTCTGGTATAAAATTGTTGATAATGAATTAGACATCATAAAATTGTTTACAATAGATATCGACGGCATTAAGTAAGCACACACAATAACTCCAAGATTGTTCCACAAAATTGGGGCAACCGGAAGTTGGGTGGATTTGGTAGGGACACCAAGGCACTGGATGACTACTAAGCGATATGGTAGTCATTCAGGGTATATCATATGATTTTTAAGTGGGAGACTGCTCCCATCGCAACGTCACGGACCACCATCGGTAATCACCAACTTCATATCTTGACAAAAAGCGGCGCGCAGTGCACGTCGGGAAATTGGTTTTCGGATAAGGGTGTCCTTTAAGGGTCTTTACATGACACCAAGACATTTGTCAATCCAACTGTTTTGGAAAAGATGGCATATTTTATATACTAGTACCAGTCAGGAAAATGATCAATTCACAAATAAGAATAATAAGTGGTGCGTTAGCAATTTTGTCTAGTGTATTACTTTTTGCATTGTATCTCAAAATACGTAAACACTTAAGCTTTCAAACTTCCCTAATTTTCCGCTTTGAAAGGAATTTTCTAGTTTAATAACTGTAGTATCTGGACACGTAAGCAAATACAAAGTCCACGTGGATTTAACATTACGAAAAGAGCATCAAATTCAGAAGGGATGTATCTTTATATTCATAGTTTTACGTTGGTTGTCGGCAATAACGTAATGATGAAGTTAATAATAAGAATACACGGATAATCTCTAGAAATAACGAAAACTTAATCGAGCGTTTGACCGGTCACGGTAGCATAGTGGTATGGCGTTCGCTTCGTGATCGGGAGGCCGGGTTCGATTCTCATTCGCCGCGCCGCGTCAAACCTAAGACGTAAACACAGGTAGTGACTGTTCCTTGGCCAAGCGCCCAGCACTAGAAGTGAAAGTCACGGGTCTTTCGGATGAGACCTTAAAAACCGAGGTCCCGTGTCACGACAGGCGTTGGCACGATAAAGAATCATCACTGCTCAATGGCCCTGAGTGCCGAGTATAGGTCTAAATGTGAAGCCCTTCACCGGTGTATGATGACGTCTCTATATGAGTGAAAAGTTCTCGAATGGGACGTAAACTACATATAATCAATCAACCAATCAATCGAGCATTTGACAGCATTGACCAAAAATTTTCGTAGACTAAGTTTAGTGCATTTAAATTTTTATGCCCCAGTAACAAAAGTTCGGGGGTATATAGTTTTTGCCCTGTCCGTCCGTCTGTCCGTCTGTGTTTGTTTATTTGTCCGCAAAAACTTTAACATTGCCCATAACTTTTGATTGGTTGGAGCTTAGGCCTTTTTCTTTCTCATGTGTATTCTTTGTGTCAAGACCTTTCTTAAGGTACCATTTGACCTTGGAGTTTGACCAAGTTTTGCAAAATTTTACCGAACTTTATAACCTTGGTCATAACTTTTGAACGGTTGGTGCTAGGATTTTCATACTTCACATGTGTAATTCTCGTGACAAGACCTTCCTTTGGATACTAGCAACTTTGACCCTTTGACCTTGGAGTTTGACCTACTTTTGAAAAACTTTAACCTTGGCTATAACGTTTGAACGGTTGGTGCTAGGGCATTCATACTTTACATATATCATCCTTGTGACAAGACCTTCCTTTGGATACCAACAACTTTGATCCTTTGACCTTGACCTTGGAGTTTGACCTACTTTTGGAAAACTTTAACCTTGGTTATAACTTCTGAACATTAGGTGCTAGGGCTTTCCTATTTAACATGTCTATTCCTTGTGACAAGATCTTTCTTTGTATATCAATTGTAATCCATTGACCTAGACCTTGGAGTTTGACCTACTTTTGAAAAACTTTAACCTTGGCCGTTACTTTTGAATGATTGTGCCACAGCTTTTATATTTCACATGTGTATTTCTTGTGAGAAGGCCTTTCCTTGGGCACCACTAATTTTTACCATTTGACCTTGATGTTTGACTTACTTTTGAAAATCTTTAACCTTTTCCATATCTTTTCAATGGTTGCTGCTAGGGCTTTCATATTTCACAGGTATATTCCTCAAGACAAGACCTTACTTTGGGTATCAACATATTTGATTTGCATTTGAGAAAGTCTAACCTTTGCTATAAGCTGCCATACAGGGAGGGGGGGGGGCATCAATGTTTTACAAAAACATTTTGTTTTTTTTAAAAAGCTTTATATATCCAATCTGACAAAAAATTGACTGGAAATGCTACAACCTTAATGTTTAATGGTATATTCTATGAAAACAATTCAAAATTTGATACCGTTTAAAATGAGATGTGTGACAGAGTTTATATAGTGTATATAACATGTAACCATGACGTCGCACGGAATAAGAAACTCAATAAAAAGCTAACGCTTAATCAGACAGATGCAATTGATTACTGTGAAGGTAAAAGGTCAACCATGTTTAACATGAGGTAGTTTGATACAATAAGGCAACTAAATAACGTACTGGGTTATTGCTTCACAGATCCTTTGCAGAATTTCATTGTGATCAGAATTTAATGCATCAAACCCATTAATATTCTGTTCTTGTACTATCATATTCCTCTCTTCCCCATAATACCAAATATTTTATGAATGAATGTATCTAATAACTATTTGATTCAGATGTTCTGCAGAAAACGGAATGCTCATTTAGCAAGAGTGGATGATAAATATGAAAATCATTGGCTTGCACATGCATTCCCGGAAAGTAAGTTATTTTAAGTTTGTCTGAAATGAATATGATATCGTTTTGTCTTTTTTTTTACACGTTCGATGAAATTGTACATTTTATGGGACATACTAAAGACAGATAGTTTCATCCCCTCTCTGTACAAATGTGTTTTAATGATCGGTTTCTACGAAGCCATGTTGCTTTACAATAGTTTTATTTCAATTGCTTAATTGTCTTTAAAATTTACACTTCGCCAGTGAGGGAATATTTAATACACATCAATTATTATGGCTGTAGAAAATTGGTATATTGACTTTACTGATCTTGGCGATGAAGGTGTGTGGAAGTCTTTTACCTTCGGTGAGCGAGCAATGTACACCAACTGGATTCGAGACAATCCTAGTAATTCTGGATCTGGTGAACACTGCGCAGAAATAAACTGCGAAAACTTGGGATTATGGAATGATGTCCCTTGTCATTTCAAGCTAAAATTTGTTTGTGAAACTTTCGGTAATTTCTTCCTTATTTATTTGAACTAGGTTTCAATTATGACTTATAATGATACCATTCTGATTATTGCTTGTTTTTCTATACATAACACCCCTTTGCTTTTCATTTACAGGAATCATAGAATGACCAACTGTTGTGAATCAAAATCTGTGAAATATTAAATAAAAAAGCAAACTCGTCTCTGGAGTATTTTTTAAATTTCTGTGCTCTGTTTTGTATATATTAATTATAAGTATTTAAGAAATTGAATTCATGTTTTTCTGTAAAAACTATCTTTAAGAATTCGAAATTTCTTTGAAAGAGTAGAAATTGAAACTGTATGAAAACAAAAAAGGTTATTCAATAAGTGCCATTACTTACTTGTTAATGTATGTAAATCTATATTTTGTATAGTCTTTAAAAATGTTAAAAAAAAATCATTGCTCATTTTTTAATCTGCACATCGCATGGGATTGAAAAGACCACTGAACATCCTCCTTTGCCACGGATCTTCGAAATTATTTGTTTAAAAGAATTTGAAATTATTTGTTTAAAAGACTCTACTTTATTAAAATTTTATTTTTATAAAACTCAACAATGTTACAGTTACAAAGTTTATTATCTACAAAAACACATATTGGATCATGGGGACGGACAACTGACTTACAGTGCGTTAATTTAACTGATCTATCTCCAGGGCATTGGAGATAGGCAAAGTATACATGGTAACACAGAAGAAGCAAACAAAGTAATAAGAGATGCACAACTGATAAAATATATACATGTAGTAAACAACATACACGTAGAAAACAAACATTAACCCCCTGGAGAAAACTTGGGGGTTATTGGTTAAAATATGGAAAATTTTCAAGCATTTGTAATATTTGTATACCAAAACAGCCAGCATGATTGGGTGTCATACGTAAGCATGACTACTGTATCACGAAAGAATTAAATGCGTAAGCATGATTGTGAGTCATACGTCAGCATGACTAGCATGAAGAATTACATTCGTAAGCATGGTTGTGAGTCATACGTCAGCATGACTAGCATGAAAGAATTATATGCGTAAGCATGATTGAGAGTCATATGTCAGCATGACTAGCATGAAAGAATTACATGCGTTAGCATGATTGTGAGTCATACGTCAGCATGACTAGCATGAAAGAAATACATGCGTAAGCATGATTGTGAGTCATACGTCAGCATGACTAGCATGAAAGAATTATATGCGTAAACATGATTGAGAGTCATACGTCAGCATGACTAGCATGAAAGAATTACATGCGTAAGCATGATTGTGAGTCATACGTCAGCATGACTAGCATGAAGAATTACATGCGTAAGCATGGTTGTGAGTCATACGTCAGCATGACTAGCATGAAAGAATTATATGTGTAAGCATGATTGAGAGTCATACATCAGCATGACTAGCATGAAAGAATTACATGCGTAAACATGATTGTGAGTCATACGTCAGCATGACTAGCATGAAAGAATTATATGCGTAAACACGATTGAGAGTCATACGTCAGCATGACTAGCATGAAAGAATTACATGCGTTAGCATGATTGTGAGTCATACGTCAGCATGACTAGCATGAAAGAAATACATGCGTAAGCATGATTGTGAGTCATACGTCAGCATGACTAGCATGAAAGAATTATATGCGTAAGCATGATTGAGAGTCATACGTCAGCATGACTAGCATGAAAGAATTACATGCGTTAGCATGATTGTGAGTCATACGTCAGCATGACTAGCATGGAAAAATACTGACTGGGTGTTATACGTCAGCATGACTAACATGGAGAATTATATACATAAGCAAGATTGGTGTCATACGTCAGCATGACTAGCTTGGAGAATTATATACATCAGCAAAACAGGTGTCACACATCAGTATGACTGCTGTGAAATGAATGTAACATAGATGAAGTGTCATACATCAGCATGACTTGCATGAAGAAATTCATGCATCAGCAAGATTGGTGTCAAATGTCAGCATGACTAGTGTGAAATGAATGTGGACGTGTAAGCATAATTAGATGCCTTATAGCAGCATGACTAGCATGAAAATAATCATGTGTAAGAATGATTAAGACTGAAGTCAGACCTCAGCATGAAAAGCGTGAAGTGAACGTGGCACGCGTAAGCAAGATGGCATAATGATTGTTAAACGATGACAAAAATCTATAGAACAAAATTAATGACAGAGTAGATCAAAACAACTTATTTACAATATGATACCAAAGCAAACAATATAATAACAATTGACAATCACCAAGGTAATTTCACAAGGCGTGTGGTGGGGAGGATGGTGGTGAAAAAATTTCCACAATGGCTACTGACACTAAGATGATGAAACTGAAAACTAGGCTAAGTTTAATAAATAAACAACAGATAGGCCCTGACAGGGTATATCTCTATGATAACACAGAATATCCATATTGACATAGTTTAACGACTGAAGATTATAATGACAGATTTACATGTATATAAACTAAGATTATAGCAATAATCTTAAATTTATATAAAACTCAACAATGTTACAGTTACAAAGTTTATTATCTACAAAAACACATATTGGATCATGGGGACGGACAACTGACTTACAGTGCGTTAATTTAACTGATCTATCTCCAGGGCATTGGAGATAGGCAAAGTATACATGGTAACACAGAAGAAGCAAACAAAGTAATAAGAGATGCACAACTGATAAAATATATACATGTAGTAAACAACATACACGTAGAAAACAAACATTAACCCCCTGGAGAAAACTTGGGGGTTATTGGTTAAAATATGGAAAATTTTCAAGCATTTGTAATATTTGTATATCAAAAAAACCAAATACAACTGTAAGGAGTTGTAGCCCCAAGTTTCCAATGTAATTAGAAGAAAAAAAAATTATATAGAAAGGAAATATAACATATATACATATTTATATATAAATATATACACAACACAGACATATTATAACACGCCTTGTGAAATTACAACAATAATGAAATTTTACTGCATGATAAAACCACATGATTGTAAGAAAAAAATGAAACAGACAGGTGTAGTTGTTGATTTCTACAAACCAATAGAGGCTATTTGTTGTTGTGCATTTTGAATCACTGAAGGAGATGTGTGAATATAGGTAGTGTAGCAATTAGAAGACCATCTACCTAAAGTTTTAATTAAATGATCTTCAATGCGTGCTTCTTGAGAAGTTGTAGCCGCTCCAATTCTAAAGTAATGACCGTTATAGAGATCAGAGTTCAGGCCTAATCGAGATAAAATGTCTGTGGCGGTCAGACGGGTTCGATCGCCGGTGGCCAGATAGCTCAGTTGGTAGAGCACCTGACTGGAGATTCAGGGGGCCCGGGTTCGAATCCCGGTCTGGTCCGCTGCATTTTTCTCCTCTCCCGTTACATGTCTTTGAGTGTGTCGATGAAAATAGCTCTGGTTAAAATGGAACCCTCTTTAGTAACAAAGAAAGGCGCAGGTTGTGTCTTGAAAACTTTTGATCTTAAGGCCGGTTTACACGGTAAAGCAAACTGTATAAACCTTGTTGTATAAAGCAAAATGTTACCGTGTGTACGGCGCTATTACACGGAATTTAAATCTCCCCGGAGTCATATATTTCACGCGTTCGAATAGAGCGTGTCTCTATTCTGGACAGCAAGTCGTATGAGACTTTCTTTCTCTAGCCAATCAGTGGCCAGGGATATGGGTGTTATATTTATGCTTCACTAACCACTTCAATTTTTTAAAAGAATACCTCAACCTTTTTATACGTGTACATTTACATGAGTTATGGCTTGTTCAAATTTAAAATGTAGAACATTATTTTTACTTTTTCGCTGAAAAAATTAAACAAAATCGTATAAAATAATTAAGAGCAAATATCAGTCTTTCAATGCTGAAACCCTACTTTATAATGGATGTCTTAAAGATCCATCAAATAAATTTTTGCTTTAGCATTCCTCCTTAAATGTATTTCAAATAGACGGTTTATTTTATATTACCGGTGGCCAAAAACGCAATGTAAGAGCAAATCGTTCTGCTGGTGAAATTGAATTTCTCATTAATATGTCCCTCTTCTCTATAAATGAGGATACTGCGTCCAGAAGATCATCAAAATCTGCCATATCTATTCACAGAAACTTTCTAGAAAATTTAATTAAAAACAGTACTTAGTTCTTTAATATGAACATGATATGCATGTAACAACGCACTTTGAAATTTTTTTTTCCAAGTGCGTTAAATTTGGGACCAAGTTTACATACTTTGAAAAATAATGTGCACGGCTTGGTCAATATATAAATAATTGGCTGGATAACTTTTCGGTGATGATGTCACTTTAGGATCTGATATATAGAAGTTTTAAAGATTTTTCCAAAGGTTCTCGTAAATAATATAAAAGGAAAATTCAATATTTTAAAAGAATACTTCAACATTTTTTATACGTTATGGCTTGTTCAAATTTAAAATGTAATTTTTTTTAACATTTTCGCTGAATAAATTTGAAACAAATCGTATCAAATAATTAAGAGCTCAATGCTAAAATCTTAGTTTAAAATGGATGTTTTGAAGATCCATCAAATAAATTTTGGTGTAGCATTCCTTCTTAAATATATTTCAAATAGACGATTAATTTTATATTTGACCGGTGGTCAAAAAATTTACGCAGTGTAAGAGTAAATCGTTCTGCTGCTGAAATTGAATTTCTCATTAATGTGTCCCGCTTCTTTATAAATGGCCAGGGATACTACGTCCAGAAGATCATCAAAATCTGCCATATATCCATTCGCAGAAAATTTCTAGAATTTAAAAAGTGGTTCTGATATGCACCATATATAGTGATCACTCCCCTCCTGATCCATTGTCTGACCCGTGGCCTTCCTTTAGATCTTCTTTGCTGGCACAACAGTGAGTGGAAATGAAATTATCAAAATGCACATTAAGATAACTATCTTCCTCTTCCTGTTCTTCCATGTTAACAAAATGAAAAAAAAAAAACTGTACTTCTTCAAAGGGGCGTTTTGTTTGTTTAAATAACGATAGAGTGGAATGTAAACCTGTTTTACCGTGTAGACATATAAGGAATATATTACAAAAGTTGTAAACGACAAGTTGTATACGACAGGTATTA